TTTTTAGGATTACAGCATTATTAATTAAATAGTGTGAATGTGACCTTTTCAATTTAATCCAAAATGTATTCCCTTATTAACTATCACAGCATTGCCATATTAAAGAAACCCCAAAATATATCCTTATAGTCATGTAAATACACAATTGAAAGCAAAGTGTTCTTCAAAAAGAAAACAGGGAAATTGATGACCATGACCCAAACCTTTCAATATTCCAATACTCATACTGGATGGGGAAACCTGACAGAGAGCTGATCTACCAGAAGAACATATATTGTTATCTCCAGGAGTTTTCATTTGCACTGACAAAGGTTATTGAAGACAATCTAATATGATGAATTTGTTCAAAAGAAATGCTGATTGCGAAAATATACCATCTGCTGTATTTTCTGTAATTGAAGTCCCAGAATCCAGCATTACTAAGGAAGCAGAGGGGGACCATTTAAATTGACAGGGTACCTTGTCAAGCACAATTAATCCAGAGCAGTAATTTGTACCAGGCAAGATCAACATCGAAAAATGCATTTTTTTAAAAATGTGGGAGTCCATGCGTCACTGGGCAATTAACAGACCGGTTAAAAATAGTCAAATTTTTAAGACTGTAACCAGTCATGAGCAAATCATAATTTACAGAAAAATTAATCAAAACATTAAAGACACTTCCAATTATTGGAATGGAGGCAAACTTTGGAAAGATTTAAGAAAGACACATGAACAGGCAGGGCATAGAGGGATATAGACTCTATGCAGTCAGATGGTATTATTTTGGAATGGCATCATGTATGGCACAGGCATGGTAGGCAAAGGGCATGTCCCTGTCCCATATGTTCAATGTTCTCTGATACACAGCAGAAAATGTTCCAGCAAGTTCCCTACAGATAAAATTGAGCAATACAGCAGAAATGGAAATAATATTTGGAGTTAATCAAATTAAAAAAAGCCTTACCACAGAGAATTTGCAAATTTTGTACATTATTGTTGAATCTGTTTCCATCATCCTTCAATTAATACATCCCAGATCATATCATAGAATCATGTAGAATCAGTACAGTGTGGGATCAGGCCATTTGGCCCATCAAGTCCGCACCAACCCTCCAAAGAGCATCCCAACTCCTACCCTCGACCCCGTAACTCTGCATTTTTACCATGGCAAACCCACCTAAATTACACTATCCCTGGACACTAGGGGCAATTTAGCCTGGCCAATTCATCTAACCTGCACATCTTTGGACTGAGGGAGGAAGCAGAGCTCCTGGAGGCAACCATGCAGACAAAGGGAGAATTTTCAAAAGCCACAGTTACCTGAGGGTGGAATTGATCCCAGGTTCCGGGTGCTGTGAGGTAACGGTGCATTCTATGTTCATAGGCATGAACATCTGACATGTTACAGCCTCAAAAGGACTCATGGTACGTCTCTTATCCACTTACAGTATACTTCTGATCTTCATTGCTGCACTTTGGGCTGCATCCAGCTCATGGACTAGACCAGGCTGCATCTCAGGGCTGTTCACCTTGCTCACTTAGCTCTCAATCATGTGAATACTCAGCATTTATGCTTTGCCTTTTTTCACTTACCCCTCAGCCAGAGATGCCAGGCTGATATAACTGCAGTATTGATGTTTCACACAGACACAGAGCCAGGAAGCTTGTCATGGTTGCCAGGAGTCCTCAGTCAAGTCATGGGATCCTGGTACAATAAATCAAGGGCAGTCTCTAATACCAGTCCAGAGGCTTGGGCACAGTCAATCAGCCAATCAGGGCAGTCAAAGTCAGGATCCTGTCGACATAAGGATGAGGAGACAGATGGTGTGCACTGTCTTGTCTCCTTCTGCCCTACTGGTTGTTTTCCTCCTGGAATGGGAGAGGGGCATGGTGAAGTAAGTGAGTGGCACCGTTGTTATGTTTGGTGCTGGTGGGAGCTCTCCTGGGTAAGACCATGAATAGGGCAGGTCATGTTGTCCTTGGCTGGAGTGAGTGAGAGTGAGTAAGGAAAGACATTGTAGGCAATAGTGAGAGTGGTACACCATTAGCTGGGAGGGAGGAAGGTGCATTAGCAGTGAAATGCTGAGTGAGACTTCTCAAAGAGAAGATGATGACATTTACATGGCCGCTGTCCAGAATGTGATTGCCCTTCTCCCTACATTGCTGTACAAGCATCTGGACAGCTGAATCTACACTGACCCAGGTGGCAATCTCAGTCAAGACTGGCATGATCTGGTGTTGTGACCTCCACTGCCCATCTTCAGGGAAGAGGATGGTTTTCCTCTGCATCACCCTGTCGAGCAGGACCTCCTCGGGTCTCTGCCAGTAAAGCAGGTGTCAATTTCTCCTTGTTTGCCATGTTCAGGTCAAATGTCGGGAGCCATGCAGAGCAGCTCTAGGCGGACATTGCTTTATCGGGTGCACAATGGTCCTTTACAAATGGTGTGAGGCTTGGCAAGCAGCAGAATTGGGAAAGAGGCCACAGACACTGCCAATCTCTGCAGCATTCTCACTGCAACACCCTGACTAATCATAGCCTGTCTGTCAGTACCGAGAACTAATACTGATATTTAACTGTACCTGGTGCCTCTTCATGTCATAATGGTCTAAGCAGCCAGGACCTCTTCTCATGTTGTAAAAACTTGTGTCTCATTTTTCAAGTCTGTTTATTGCATGCTTGTCCTGATGAGTGCCAGATAGACTCAGAGACAGTTACATCACAGGAGGGGACCATTTGGCCCATCATGTCCATGCCAGTTAACAAAAATCTGACTGCTCTAATCTTATTTTTCAGCACTTGATCCATAACCCTGGAGGCTGTGACAATGCAAGTGAATATTTACATACTGGTTAAAAGTTATGAGAATGTTTGCCTCAAACACCTTTTCAGGCAGACTCCCAGACCTCCACTACCCTCTGGCTGGAAGTTTTTCCTTACCTGCTGTCTTTTACCTTAAATCTATGTCCTCTTGTTCTTAACCCCTCTAATAATGGGAAAAAAGTAACTTCCTATCCACCTTATTTATGCCCTTCATAATCTTATCCACCTCTATTAAGTCCATTCTCAACCTTTGCCACTTCAAAGAAAACAGCTGCGCCCTCTACAATCTTTCCTCATAGCGCAGACCCTCCAGCCCAGGCAGCACCCTGGTGAATCTCCTCTGCACCCTCCCTAGTGCAATTACACCTATCCCACAATGTGGTGACCAGAACTGCAGGTAATATTCCTGTTGTGATCTAACAAGCATTATATACAGTTCAAGCATAACCTTCCTGTACTTGTGTATAATGCCTGAACTAACAAAGGAAACTATTTCAAATGTCTTTTTAAGCTCCTTACTTTTTTGCCCTGCTACATTCAAGGATCTGTGAATATGCACTCCATGGCCTCTATGATCTTCAATATTTTCCAGGGAGTTGCTATTCATAGTGAATTTCCTTGCCTTGTTAGCCCTCAGTGCATTACCTCCCACTTTTCTGAGTTGAATTTTATTTCATAGGATCCCTGCAGTATGGTAACAGGCCATTTATCCCAACAGGTCCATACTGACTCTCTGAAGAACATCTCACCCAGTCTCACCCCAATCCTATTCCTGTAACGTTGCATTTCCCATGACTAACCTACCTAACCTAAACATTCCTGGACTGTAAGGGGCAATTTAGCATGGCCAATCCACCTAACCTGCACATCTTTGGACTGTAGGAGGAAATGGAAGCACCTGGAGGAAACCCACTCAGGCACAGGGAGAATGTGCAAACTCCACACAGACAATTGCCCAAGGCTGGAATTGAACCTGGGTCCCTGGCACCGTGAGGCAGCAGTGCTAACCACTGTGTCACCCCATCACTGCTCTGCCCTGTTGACCAGTCCATGTATAACCTCCTGTGGTTCACGTCTATTGTCCTCACTATTTATGACCCTATTAATTCTTGTGTTTCTTGATCATGCATTTAATTCAAGGCATCTGGATAGATATATGAATGGGAAGGGTTTGGATGGTTATGGGCCAAATGGGACTAGATTAATTTAGGATATCTGGTCAGCATGAAGAACTTGGACCAAAAGTCGGTTTCCATGCTGTACATCTCTATGACTCTAAGTCAAAATCATTAATATGCATCACAAATAACAAGGACCCAAGAACCAGACCTATGGAACCCTCCTGGAAACAGATCTCCAGTCTCAGAATCATCCCAGTCTGGGTCCTCTCTCTCAGCTTATTTTGGATCAGATTTGTCACTTTGCTTTGAATTGTATAAGTTCTTATTTCTTGTCTCCTTTTAGCTTTGTTTATATTTTGTACTACTACACCATTATTCATGTTAATTATCTTGTAGTATAAGCTTGCTCCGCAAAATATTACTGTTTCCTGTTTACTGCATAATGTCAAAACTTCAGAGTATTGCAAAACAACTGAAAGTGGTTCCTGCTACTTCTGATTTATGTATTCTGTGTCTTCACTCTTCCTTATAAATGTAGGATTTGGCAATACTATTTCAGAGACTTCCATAAGTGGATAGCTGTATCTATAATGCCACCTGCTCTGTCCTGAAGCATGCATAGCTCTTATGAAGACGTTTGCAGTTCTGCTCACCAATAGATTGTTCTTTTCAGGTTGCAGCAATTGAAAACAACAACTTGACTACATTTTAAATGGCATAATATAGATTTCTGAGAAATGGTGTACTGTACTCTTAAGTTAAACATTTGATACTGGTGCAGTGCAACAGATCAACAAGTACATAACATAAGGGAGAAAAACGAATGTTGCCAGTATTTTTCAATATGGCCAGAGATTGATTGCTCTTCCAGTTTATTTCTCTCTCTGTCTCTCTATTCAGCCTGGTACAATGTGACACATTGATCATTATATGTACACTCTTCACAATCCAAACTGCAGAAGACGCCTTGAGAAAAGAATAATTGCATTTCTTTGCAATCTAGAATATAATGATTTGCTCACATTTCACACCTGTTTAACAGCTACTGAGCCAACTACCTTCTTTTTATATTCCAGATCCACCCACACCCATTGCTCCACCTGAGCTTTTGGCCGTAGGTGCAACCTACTTGTGGATCAAACCCAATGCAAATTCCATAATAGGAGATGGTCCTATCATCCTAAAGGAAGTAGAGTACCGGACCACCACAGGAAATTGGGCTGAAACACACATTGTGGATTCTCCTACCTACAAATTATGGCATCTTGATCCGGATGTGGAATATGAAATTAGAATCCTACTGACACGACCTGGGGATGGTGGGACAGGACCTCCAGGTCCACCTCTTACAACAAGAACCAAATGTGCAGGTAGGTGATGGAAACATAAACATTTCATTGTGGACCAGAAATAAATTTGTATGGCAAAAGTGGAAAATGATTTTGAAAAAAAATTACATAAAATGCTGTCTTCATTTGTATGATTTTATCAATAACTGTATTATCTCCATAATTATCTTCTTTGTAAGCCTGGGAAGTGATGTGTCCTTTGTCAACTTGTACATATAATTTAATAAAACTACCTGATAATGATATAATTTATTCAAGTATTAAACTGTATGCTCCCAGAGGAAAAAAATAATGTTCGGCAGGATTATCCAAAATTGATTGGCCTTTTGGTAGATTTCACTATTGCTGAAGAATTTAACTGATCCATTGTTGTATTAGCATACAGAAGGATAAAGAGTACAATATTTGCCTGTAATAGTAGCTAACCAATCTTTTCACACTGAACATAAAGATTCATTAGAATTATCATGAATATGTGAACTGTGGTTTGCAAAATTGTTGCAGTCCATTTACTAGAACCCATTTTCCATTGTTCTCCAGCAGATATTTTTCTAAGGAAGTTGAAGGTTGAAATTGTTCCGAGCAATTGTTCTTGTTTTTAATGATTATCAAGTTGACAGTGGTATTGGTAACTGGAATTCTTTGCATTTTAAATGCCTTAAGCTAGATGTTCCTTTTTGTTTCGGAGGACTTTGTACAGCTACACTGACTCTTGGGTCAGGAGATCAGGTCCAGCATTTTACAAGAGGAGGAAAAAAATAGGACTCAACAATTTGATTCTGGAACGTGAGGACAAGGAGAGCTACTCACCCATCATTTACAAATGATAACGCTGTATACGGCAGCAAATGTCACCCCCACACCTACCTGTGATAATGAGAGGGGAGACTGCTGGATGGGGTTGGGTGTAGCATGACCTGGATTACCTAAGCTTTTTCTTCCACCATGCCATGTACTTTCAGTGTTGTGCTGGAATAAAATCTAGCTCCTAGTGATAGCCTCAGCAAATCACAAGCCAGAGAGAGTAAAACAGATGCAGACTTAAACTTTGTCAACTGTACTCTAACCTACCAGTGTGATATTTCTCCATTTCGCACATCAACAATTGTGCAGCCTCTGTGAGATTTCCAATTAATGTCATATGTATACTTCTGTGTTGTAAGGCGGTCACCATGAATGAGTTCTGAGGAAGGGTCACTGGAACCAAAACGTTGACTCTGATTTCTCTTCACAGATGCTGCCAGACCTGCTGAGTTATTCCAGCAACTTTTATTTTTGTTGTTGACTACGAACAACATTGTTGAGTATATCCAAATTCATTACAAATACAGTACTCATTGGGAAACCTTTCACCCCAAGAGTCTGGATTACATTTGAACTCAGTTTCCAGAATTTAAAGGACAACATTAAATCCTAAAATAAGTGTTCTAGGCATATTAGCACACTTCTATGAAAGTCCTGTTGGGAGTAACCCTACATTTGCTGGCTCAGCTGAAATATGTGAAAAGAAACTTGTGAAGCTTGCCCTATTGCAAGGTCAGTCAGTCAGATGGTGGCTTAATTGTTTGCTGAAGGGAGGTGTGTGTTTAAATTAAGTGCAGTAGTCAACAGGTGGTGTGCTGAACTGGTGACACAGTATGTCTGGGTCGAGTCCTGTCATAACCAGATGCAGGTCACCGGATATTTAACATTTATTAGCAAAACAAAGTGCAGTGGACCAAAGGGTGTATGAATATCATTCAGCTGATTGGACAGCACAAAAATTTCAAGGAAATAGCTTACATGAGCAGCCATGAGCAGGCCGACCTGGAGTCAAGGTTTGTTAAAACTGAGGGAGAAGCCTCCTTCCAAAGAAAGCAAGCAGCTGTTCTAATGAGTGAAAGTCAAATGACCATGGTAGGTGCTACACACTTATGATATTTACTGTTGGTCAACTGATCAATTGCTAAAGACTAGACAATGTCAAGGCTGAATGCATGGAAAGGGGTATAAGAGAGTTTGTCTCCATGAAACAGCTAGCTAGCTCAGGAAGAGGAGATTCAGTCAGAGCAGATTGATTAACTGTTTCAGTCTGATCTTTGGGCAAGTCCATATACACAGGGTCACTTGTGGTTTTAAGCATTGTACAGGTAAGCTTGTGATGTATTACTATCATTGCAGTATTTTGTAGCGTACATTGCTTCAAAAGAAAACAATTGGGTATACGCTGTTGGCGGGACTGCCTTAGGCTGTCGATCTCCAGAGCACATCCGGTAAACTAGAAAGGTAGGAATAAAAGCCTATAGTCCTTTTTTGTGATAGTTTCATGTATATTTAAGTCCACAAAAAGCAAATGAGTATAACAAATGCTTAATAGTATGGACACTAATATTGCTCAGTGTAAATAATGCTGAATAGAAGGTCACCACACTGGTGAGTTTGTTTGGTTCTTTAATGTTGCTTAGTGCAAACCTTTAGTTCGAGATAATTTGTTGACCTTTAATTCTTGAGCACTAACTGCCATGTTGTATCAGGATAGGTTGTGTTTAATTAATAGGGCTGATTGATAAAGGAAATGTTTCTTATGTACTACAAGGATATTCAGTAATTTGCCCTTCGTGACAACCTCAATGCATTTTCTGGATCTCTAAGTTTTATTTTGATAGCATTCTCTAATTCAGCAGAAAGATTTCTATGTTATTGAGAATAATGTTAAGACATCAATGATTTACATTGATTTACTTGAGCAAGTGTAAAATTAAGTGCTGTGCTTGCATCAAAAATGCAAATGGGAAAATGTAAAATAATATAAATCAAAAAATATCTTGCATAATTTCAGCAAATAAACAATGTAAATTAATTAATTAATTGTCAGGGAATGTTGTAATTCCAATAAAAGACAGCTAATTATATCTGTGTTGAAAAGATGAGATAGAACATGCACAGTGAACTATAGACCGTCAATTCAATTTCAATAGTACAAAACTAATTGAATTCTTGAGAAAATAGAAAACTTCTAGAAACTAAAATAAAATGTTGAATAGTCAGCATGGTTTCAGGTCTTGCTTGACCGACCCTTTTGAATTCTTTGAAGAGGTAATGGAGAGAGTAGACGTAGTGGATGGAACATACCTGGATTTCCAAAAGGCCTTCCACTTTCATAAGTAGAATATTGTGAGAACATGCAAATTTAGGGGGAAGTTAACAGCATGGATAGTTTGTTGGCTTCAAGACAATAAACAGAATAGCAATACAATGTAACTTTTCACCATAGCAAAACATGAAATGTGGGTATCACGAGGATTAATGTAAGTTGCATAATTGTCCACAATTTGCATTAGCAATTTAGGCATTTGAATCAAAACATGATTTCCAAGTTTATGGAATGGTCTAGCACATTGGGAGGATTATTCAAAGCTGAGGAGGATAGCAATAAATTTCAAGAAGACGTTAATAAGCTTGCAAGATGGCAAATTAGCATAGTTAAGAGTGAAATATTGTGTTTTGGAGAAATAAGGAGACCATATATTGCTTGGAAAATAACTAACTAAATGGAGTAGAAGAGTGAAGGGAATCTGAGCATATGCAAATCATAAAAAATTGTAGTACCAATTTATAACATTATAATTAAATTGCACTGAGCATTATGGCTGGCTTTTCCCTCCTAGTCAGGAGTGCAGAATCCTGACATTTTCTAGCTCTGGAAACGCAACCCAGGAGAAGGTGCCCTGGAAGTTGTAATTTTTATTTTGGCGTGGCTGGATTTGCTGGGAATTGAGTCAAGTGACTCTGAAATGAATGTGAAGGCTGCTGAGTGTGGAAGAGAGGTGGATGGAAGACATGTCTCAATGTTCCAGCATTGTGTTGAAAGTTTTTAAAAAGTTGAAACATAAAATATCCCTCCAGCTCTCAGTCTTCACATTCCCTCACCAACATACAGACTCTCCATTGTCACATTTATGCGCATTATACCCTGGTAATCTCCATATCAACCCATGCCTCACTGCGCATACCTATGACAGTTTTTGGTCCGTATACCAACTTAGTGGCAACTGTTACCAACTTGTGTTACCTACCACCAATCTTTTCCCTTGCATTTACCATGACAACTGACCCATTGTCTCCAATGGGCAGACCTCAGGGGCCATGCTCAATTTATATAAAACAAATTTCAAAGTATCTTGTGTAGATTTCATTTTAAAAAGTATTCATTAACATAAACTCATTCAATACATTTACATTCTTTCAAATACATAAGTCCCTTGTATGTGGAGGTGCCGGTGTTGGACCGAGGTGAAGAGGATCAGAAGTCACATGACACAGGGTTATGGGCCAACAGGTTTATTTGAAATCGTGAAAAAACTTCACCTGATGAAGGAGCAGCATTCTGAAGGCTTGTAGTTTTCAAATAAACCTACTGGCCTATAATCCAGTGTCATGTGACTTCTGTTTATTGAAAGCTGTTTTAATCAACTACCTAATTGCATTGGAATTTAAGCATTGGAATTCATAGTCCCACTTCAAAGAGTCTATAAATACTTGGAGCTGAAAGGTGATTAGAAAAGCTGTGCACCTGACTGAGATGATGAAAATATTGTGAAATCATTTATTTTATCCCAATATGTGTAATGGTAGCCTGCAAAGCAAAGTGAATTAGGAGACTTTTTTTTAAACACACCAGAACATTGTTTTTCAAATTTCCTAAGGGCAGGAGTTTTAAATACTTGACAGCTACCATTGTCAGTTTCCCTTGACAGTTCCTCTTAGTTCTTCTTGATATGTTTGAGGGTTTCTCTTGAGAGCTTTGATAATTGCTTTCAACACTTCTAATGAGCTTCGCGGTTACAATTTGGTGCACTTTTTGCAAAGAATCAAGCCAACTTTTAACAATCTCAAAATGCACCTTACATATCCCAATGGGCACCTGACTGCTCCAAAGGGTACCTGCGCTCCAACAAAGGCATCCCAGGACAAATCCATTAACTTTCCAAAAGGGTACCCTGGCTATTCAAAGATATCTGCAAACTGCAGGCCTTCTTGTA